GGAGTTAGCATTTGCTCTTTAACTGCAGTCAGAAGATTATAACAGTAAACAGGGTTTTTTTGTAGCACTTCTCATACATACCTACAAGAATGCATTATTAACGTGGCAGTAATGCTCATCAACTTCACTTCTGTCACAATTTGTAACAAGTTGAAAGCCCCAGTGAGGCATTGGTAAAGCTGCCAGCGGAGCTTTGAGCTTGACTTGTGGAGTCAGTCTGGGCTGCAAAATGCAGTGGTGTACTGATACAGACACCTGAAGCAGAGGGTAGCTCATTTAGGGGTTTCTGCTGCAGTTCTTCTGCAGAAGACACATCTGTAATAAGTTCCCTGCTCACTGGACCAATAAGTACAGAAATACTTGTTCGTTCTACTTTAAGGTAATAAATTTTTTTGAAAAAGGTTTCCAGAGCTGGATTGCCAGAGTCAGTGATACAGGGTTTGTTGTGGTCAGTGATGCAAAGTCCGCTGGCAGCTGGGCAGTATGGTACCCCATGGGAGTCAACGCTGGGGCTGATAACGTTCAACATCTGTATTAATAACCTGGTCAATGGGATGGAATGCACCCTCAGCACGTTTGCAGATAATCCTAAACTGGGCTGAGTGGTTGAAACCTCTGGAGGGTAAGACACTTGTTCAGGGAGAACTCAATAGGCTGGAGAAAATGATTTGACAGAAACCTCTTGAAATTCAACAAATGTAAATGAAAAATACTACACCTGGGGCAAAATAACCCTGTGCTATAGCATAGGTTAGGCATCCACTGACTAGCAGCTCTGCAGAAAAAACACCTGAACGTCCTGACAGAGGAAAAGTAGAATGTGAGTCAGCAGGGTGTCCTTGCTGTTAAGAAACCAGACACGTGCTGGGATGTACTAGCAAAGGCTATAGCCAGTGGGTCAAGAGAAGTGATTGTTCTCTATTCAACACTTAAGTCCACCTTTGACATACTGTGTCCAGTTTTGGCTCTCATACAGGAAAGACAGTGACATAGTAAATGGCCACTAAGATGATTAGTGTTCTGGAGCACATCTTGAACAAGGAGAGGCTGAGAGAACTGGATTTGTTCAGCTTTAGAAATCGAAGGCTAATGGGGGAAATGTTACTGCTGTCTTCAGCTGCCTAATGAGAGGGCATAGAGAGCCAGACTCTTCCTGAGGTGGTGCACTGTGATAAAACAGGAGACAGCGATCACAAGTTGCAGAAAAGAAATTCTGATTAGATATTGAGGGAGGCAAATGCAATGGGTATAGTTAAAAAAAAAAAAAAAAGGAATAAGCTCTCCATAGTGGTGGAATAAGCTCTCCATAGTGGTGGTAGTGTCTCTATCCTTGGAGGTACTGAGAATGTGACTAGGTCCTGAGCAACCTGCTTGATGATGGCTCTGCTTTGAGTGTGGGGTTAGACTATACTCCAGGTGACTTCCAGAGGTCCTTCAATGAGATTTATTTGTGATTCTGATGGGGAGATGAGTAAGAGTATCATGTAGCTAGGGCAGAAAGTGTCAGTTCCAAGAGATGAATTGGTTTAAAAAATAGTTTAAAAAAACAAACTGGAAAGGACTGTTTAGGGAAAAGGTTCTGTGTAACTTCTCTTCTGTTAGTTTTCAAATGAAAGGATTTTTTTCTCCTGACATGGAAACCATTTGAAATTATAAAACTGGTGGAGTTTACATGTCTTAATCTTTTAATACAAAGCAATACTGGCAAATGCTTGTGTATAGTGCACTTCCAGACTAATAAGCAATCCTTTATCTGACATCTGGCACTTCTCCCAGATAGCCTGCATTCATTTCAAACCCTGTGTTGTATGGCGAAGTAGGACTCAAAGTATTTCTGTATGCACAGTGAGGTAGGTAAAATGTTCTTTTTGGATGGTGTAGTGAAAAGAAGTGTCAAACATGCAAAAGAAGTTCGGCAGCAGCTCCCTCAGAGTGGTCATCTGTCCGGAGCTTTTCATATCCCACACACACCCCCCCACACACCCATAATTGCAGAAATGAAAGGACTTCACTTAGTGGAAGGTACGGAGAAATATTTTGCCAGGTAGTCTGTCTTCTTATCTACTGAAATTCTGGCTTTAGTGAGAATTGGGGTTTGAAAGAGTACGTATTACCAGGATAGATCATTTGTAGTGGAACAGAGATCTCAACTGTACTTCTTGAGGATTGCCAGCTCTTCCCTTGTCAAAAAAATGACTTGTTTCTCTCTAAGCCTGTAGCAGAGACAGGTTCTTTATTGAGGTTTATTGTGGTAGCTGTTATCCATTTACTGTTCTGTATTGTTTGTTACACATTCATTTCTCTACATATTTTTTGTGGCTTTCAGAACCACAAATATATTTTTCTTGGTAAACAGTTGTAGATAATGGAGCTTTCTACACGTGTGAATAGTTTTTAGAGGAAAATAAGGTTATTTGATAATCATGTAAAACCTTGAAGTCCTGAATAGAACTGTGTCTTGCTGAATGAATGTTCTGATATGATAAATTACTGGACATCTTAATTGCAGGCAGATTTCTAACTGAATGTTTTGCCATTCTTGGGCTATTTTTACCACATTTCACAATTCTCTAAATGCACTTTATCTGTGTCTTTGGTATGCATGAGTGCACATGCTATGAAGTAATTACTGATCTGTAAGAGCTCTGAAGCATTTGAAGGCTGAAGTAGGGGAGAAAACTCTCTCAGTTCTTATGTTCTAGAACTTTGGCTATAGCTCTTCATTTCCTTAAAACTTTCCTTTTTCTCAACTGTGGCTAACATTTGGAAACTTTAGATCGTACCTGGAAGTCATTCTTTTAATGTATATAAGTGATACAGCTGGAAAGAGTAATTCTATAAAAGGAGTGCAAGCAAGAAATATGGAATAATAAAAACATTTCAGTTCTTTTTTTACACAATCCAAGGTTTTCTTGTTAATGGGAGGCTCTTAAAACTGAAATTGACCCCCTCCCCCCCAAACCAGTTGCTGAGGTGTTGAGAACAAACCACCTTATTTATAAGCATTTGTTGTTGTATTGTAGGACTTATACTGTTCAGTTCTTTAAAATAAACAGCCCTTTATGGTCGGAGTTATTTTCTTTCTATTATGTAAATCATTGTGCATATATATATTAAAAAAATACTCCACAAAGAATTAATCTTACTCTATTAAGTCTAATAGCAGTATATAAGGAGTCTTCCTTTAGAAAAGCGTACTTTTAGCGAAGTCAGTATGTCAATGTTTTAAAGTTGGTTATTTTCTACAGCAGTTTCAAATTACTGATGTTTTGCTGTGATAAAGGCATATCAGTTGTTCCAGATACGCTATTTAAAGTAAGCAAACTTCTTGCTGTGACGCTGTGTTGGTTTTCAGCCAAAGAGAAGAAAAAAGCGGCTTACTCTAATTCCTTCAGGAACAATAATCTTTTGCCTTTTGAAAATGCTGCTTTACAGAGCACTTCTAAAAACACACTGTCTAAAGTCTTTTCATTTAATATGTGGCAAAGTGTATATTGTGTGTGTATAAAATCCACAGGTTGCCCTGAGGCGGGGTGTGTGTGTGTGACAGTTTTGTTATCGTCTTATGTGTGTTACACTATGTATGTATATGTTACAAATATGAAAGTTTTAATTTCATATTCTACTGAAGGGCTGGGTTCTGATATCTTGATTTCAGTTTCATTCAAAAAGTGTGGGACAATCATCCTTTTACTAACTGATCGATTTTAAACTGCATAGTTTATCCCTTACTTCGATACTGCAGTTGTTCAATGATGCTGTAAACTTAAGACTTATTTCAAGCAAACAAGTAATTTTCTTTTTTTCTCCTTGAAATTTTTATACTCTGGATCTTCAGGGGTGCTATTCTGAAGGATCAGTTTTTTGCCTTATAAACATCAGAATTCATTTGGCCTAAAATAATTTCATATTCCAATTTTGTCAGTTCAGGCTAAAGACTGACTTTCTAAATGGCTATCTCCTATTTAACCAGCTTCTGTATGGCTTATGTCTGCATAGTTTATGCGTGCAAGCATTGCTTAACAAGAAAGGTGGCTGTGATGTTGTGCATTTTAACATTTTTATAAAATGAATTAATCCCATTTTGAATCTTTTGATCAGCAAGACCATAACTCTTTACATGGCTTAGTCTAGTGGAAATAATTTTACCTTTAGAAACTTAGGGTCTGTCAACCCTGGGATTTATCCCATGTTGTGTTACATCTTGCTTCTGCTTGATGTTCTATTTAAATGTGCTGGAGCACACTTGCGTGTTTGGACATGGCATACCTTTCTCATGCTGTTGAAATAATGGAGCATGTCTGTTAAGTGGGATACGTTGAATGAAAGTAGAAGTAAAACTGTAAAGATTTCTATACTCCGGTAGCAGTGCATTTAATTTTGCTTCATTTTTAGTCTCTGACATCCAGCTTCCTGATATTTAAAAACTTTGATCCACCTTGAGTATTTGAAGCAGTAGACTGCCAGTATTCTTTGCTGCAGCAAGAAGGGCTTGCATCTCAAGGTGCAAGAACTTATTTGGGAGTTTAGTATGCTTTTTCTTCATTGCTCATGACCCTTAGTTCTAATCAGCTTATGCTTTTTATTGTGTTTATATATAAATACTCTTATGCTAGAGGATTGTGTCAATAAAGCCCCTGTTAGGAGAATTGCACAGATGCAGGTAACAATGCTCAGGTCACATGCAGAGTATGGGATAAAGGGCTAAATACAGTCCAGAGGAAACATTCTCCTTAATATATTAGAACAATGTAGGAGTCTGTTTCAAAAGGAAATACACTTGCTTTTACTAGTAGATCTTTCTATGATACAATTTATAGAGTTTTAACTGGGTGCTGTGTGGAGAGGTGTTACGATACAATAAGGTGCAGTTTCATTCAATTGACAACCAATTTAACATGTTTCTTTGAAAGGAGAAGATTCCTTGCTGCTTGTGCATGCTACTTCTGGTGTTCATCTGATAATACTCAAAGCTAATTCCATTTGCAAAACAGGGGGGAATGGTCCAGGTGAGTTTTAGTGAGTTGAATTTGCTTGCCATACAATCAGCTGAGTTCCAGAGAAGGCTCAAGCAAGGAAAGGTCAGGGACACAGCCTGATGAAGAAAAATAAAGCACAAGAAAATGAAACCTACTTCTCCAGTGGCAGCAGCAAGCTGTTCATGAAATAGCACTGTTGAAGACAGCTTACTTTTCTCTAAGAGATTTCATCCCTGTATAGATTGAGAAGAGCTTTTGCCTTGGAAGTGTACCTGGCCTTGAGCTTGTTATAAAGGTGTTTTGCAATGCATCTGAGACCAATGTGTGATGCCTAATTCTGCTGGTATTCAGGCTGTATAATTTCTCAGAATACTGAGGAAACTTTCAGAAATGCTGAGAAGCTAGATGCTTGTAGTTAGAGTTCACTGGAAATTCTTTTTGCTTCAAATCTTGACCAAAGTTGGATACCTCACTGTAGATGAAATTTCTGGTTTAGTCCCTCAAGTTTTGAGTCTTTTTGTCCATTTCTAAATGATTAGAAATGTATTTGTGGTCTGGTATTTTGGATCACTGTTGGCCTGTCTGTAAGAAAGAGTTAGTTAATAGCTCAAGTGTTGCCTCTAAGTGAGACTGGTCTATGCATGCAAATCATATTATCTCACATAAGGTGATGGCCTTTACCTCTGGCTAGTTACGGCTAAAGCCTGTAGGGAAAATTTAACAGTTGTTAATGTGACCTTGTAGCTATACAGATAAAAGCTTGTTCTGTTAAAGTGCTGGTGATCCTACAAGTGTCGTTTCGGAATCCCCCATATTCTGGAAGAAGATACAGAAGTTGGCTCACAATTTGGAAGCAGATTTGTAAATCATCCTATACTTATTACAATGCAGAGAACAGGATGCACCTATAGAAGTTTACTGTCACTCCTGTGTTGTGTTATAGTATAGCTAAACCAAGTTAACTGTACTGAAAGAAAGTAAAGTGTGGGGTCGAGGAGGGAAGATGACTCAGGACTGGCATCTAGTCCACATCTTTATGTATGAGGAACTTCCAAACACTGTTGTCCTATAGCCCTGTGGAAGAAACTGGGAGTTGCATGCACTAAAGTGCCACTCCTGAGTTTCTAGGAATTTTCATTTCTTACATTTTACTTATATTTTTTGTGCAATTTTAGTTTGAGGGTGACTTTATAGGGTTGTGGGGTTTTTGTGTAGACTAATACTCTGTGCGGTGCTTTATCTCTGCCTATCAAAGCGTGTTGCCAGCAGATAGTATGTAATATATAGTACGTCATCTCATCTCACAGTTCAGTTTGTGATAGCAAGAACTTTGAAGACAACTTCTGTGCTCTACCCGTGCCTCAAGCCCATACGTTGCAAGAATAAGTCCTTTTTAAAATAGTTTTCTGGAAAAATGAATATTAGGATTTTGCAGGGAATTAACATTTTCTAAAACTGGTAAATTGTTTTGGGGGAGGGCACAGTTCTTCAATACCTGTGTTTTCTTTTTTCCTGAAATGGTTATCTGTTTTAATAACTGGACCTTCACGAGTATTTTCTGTTACTTCTCTAGTTAACTAGCTGAAAAACTTTCTTTTCTCTGAAATGATTGCTTTTGTCTTAGCCAGAAGAGGTTGTTATAGCTACTGGGTTTGTTTTGGTTTTTTATAAATAAAGTATTTTGGATTACAACCTATAGTTTCTCTTCATTTGTAAGCTCTTAATATGCCTTACTTTAAATACTCTGAATTAAAGTCTGTAATACACTTTTAAATACTTTTCAATAATGTTGATTCTAAGATTTTGTGGGAAATATTAAAGTGCAATTAGGTCGTATTTTTGAGATCGACACATGCTTTCTTGAAAGCTAGAGTAAAAAGCTGGCTGCTGATTGCTGTGTAGCAAACTTCCTCTTCAGGGCTGTGGTGTGTCCATGTTCCCATTAGTATGTGCTGGTAACAAAAACCGGAACCACACCCCATTGTATTACTCTAAATTCACTTGTTTGGAGTTGATGTATTTTCTCCCCGTGTTGATCTTGTCAATGTAAGCAGCTGGTTGCTGGAATGTACATGATGGACCCCCCAGTTTCCTTGACCATGCCAGAAAGAATTATCTTAGCTAATGAGAGAAGGTTAATAGGCAGCGTTGTCTTCTGAATGAATCGATGAGGTACTTCAAGGCTTTGTTTATGTTAAATTTATCAGAACACTTAACACTGCAAGTTAAGCTTGTGTTTAACAAGCTTCTTGTGTACAACTGAAAAGGGAAACCATTAATCATAGAACTTCAAATATTAGTGAAATGCATCAAAGAGTGAAAGTGGGAAGATGGCAAGTGTGATACCCGAAATGGCAATAAGCTGTTTTCCCCTCCCAAATTCAGTGAACTTTCAACATGGTGCTACATTGTTAGCATGTCTATAGCATCAATTCTTGCTCTGTCATTTGGAGAGTATAACTTCATACTTCCTACACGTTTGTGAGGTTTTAGTTATGCTTTGTCAGGACCTTTGTGGTCTTGTACATGTGATGCAGCCCAGGTGTTCAGATAGATCCCTTCCACCTCAGTAGAACTTAGGTGTGTGCTTACATGAATTGAAGCCTAAATTACTAAGTATTGATTATTGCGATATTGTAGTTGTTGATGATGTGTCCAATGGAATATTAAATGCACATCTCTACTAAAAGAGCAGAAAAAGGGGAGGTTGTCATGCAAAACAAACGGCTTTTGTGCAGCCTTAGTACCACAGATATTTGCCTGTATATGTCTGAAAAAAAGGCAGCAGCAGTAGCAATCATCCCTGTCCTGAACTTACCACAAAGACAGATGACCATAACTAGGTGTTTACTTTCAGGCTATGGGTCTCCTTGGCTCCTTTTATGATTAGTGCTACATGTTGTTGTAAGCCATAGCTTCAGCTTTGATTGTGAATATGACCTTTTTCTCATTCTTTTCCATTCCCTGCTCTTCTGCTCGCAAAACTAAGGAAGGTGCTTTTAAGTAGAAGGCTGTCTGTGTGCCAGGCAGTTACTGGAATTCATTTTGTATTTTGATCCTACCCTTTTTCAGCAGCTCTTTAACTTTTGCGTGCTGCAAGAAAGTTTTTTGGAAATAGTATACTTATAACTGGCACTACAGCCCAAAAGGCACACATAGCTTGACAGCACAAAAGTAGTAAACATAATTTGAGGTTATAGTAACTTTGAAAGATGAGGGTGTCACTGGAGAGCTTTTTCATATTGCTTACAATCTGTGGCTCAAAGAAAACAGAAAACTTTGTCTCAGTGCCATGACAGACAATGCGAAGTATACTAACCTCCCCAATGCTTCATGTCTTTGCTATTAGTAAAACTGAAAAACCTGCCGGGTTTTTCCTTGCTGGAGTTTAGAGCTGGGAAGTGTGCTTTGATATTTTATAGAGAACAGGAGAGCAAGAACTGACCTGGCTTAAGCAATACCAGACAGAGTGCATAAAATGCTGTTCTGTATGATGTGGAATGCTTGCCTCAAACTTCGTTAAATGCAGACTGAATTTGCAATTATGTATGAATTGCATTTGGTAATAACCTCAGGATGTTGTTACTAAGGACTCATCTTGCCCTTATCCATTTTCTCCATCCATGAAGAAGGAGAGCCTAACTTTAGGAAACCAGGAAGACATTTTATTACTGTCCATAGAACCTTTTCTCTTTAAGAGAGTTCTTTGAAGTCCTCAATCAGGAAGCTGTTAACACATAACATCTCAAAATACTTTTGTAGGAATTGATTAGTTACGTAAATGTCTCCTTGTACACTGGCTTGGCAATACCTAGTGAAAATGCAAACAAAAATATTACCTATACCATATAAATGCAATGGAAGGAAAAAAAAAATCTGAGTGATGTGACAGCAAAGCCAACTCAACTTTAAGCTTTTTAAACTGTGGTCAGAAAAAGCTTCGAGTTGTGCATAAATATAAGAAATAGTTCCGTACTATTATAAACTCCAGTTTTGTTTGTAAAGCTGTTCTGTTTTTTATAAAATCTTCTGAAAGATCATGGGTTATACTTGTTAGTTGTTTCCCATTTGTAAAGTACACATCTCTGGTCTCTGATCCTAACCCTCATCTGTCAGGTCATCTTTTTATATTAATCGTCTTTGTCTTAATCTTTCCCTATAAAAAGAAATTACTCCAAGTGAGCTGAAAACGTGGTCTTAAATTTACTTTTAAGGAGGTGAAGAGAATTGGTTAACAAAAATGTGATTCACCATAGAAACAGCTCAGCCAATAGCATATATGCAGTAAATTAACCATTTTCTGGTACTTTCATATTTGATACGAAACATAGCAACATGGTGATAGCTTGACAACAATAGCAGCTGCATATATTTTTCTTCCTTTTTTGAAATGATGTTCTTGTCGAAAAAATAGATTCCCTGGAAAGTAATTTAAATTACAAGTTTCATCACAAAAATTCTGTGGGTGGGTACAATAGGCTAGAAATTAAATTAGTGATTTGTATAATAAATGATGGTTTTGATTTGATATGACACTTCTAGTCTCTTACAAGTGACATAGCTACAGGCAATAGAATAATCTCTCCCCCTTGTGAAGATAAATGTCGTATCAGCCCAAACCATCTTATATTAAATTACAGCTTCCCTTTTTTTCCATATGAAAAGATTCATGAGACTCTTCATTAAATAATAGCACAACCCAATTAAAAGGGTACTTTGGCCAAAATGTCTTGAAGATATTTTCTAATATCAGGCATGTAGTTAATTTATATAGGGTACTGCCATAAGATGCCTGATCCAAATAAAGGAATTTTCCTTTATGCAGCAAGTGGCGTGATTGTGGCCACACTGAGCTAGAAGGTGCTTTTCTTATCTCAGTTAGACTGAAACCCTCAAATGCAAATGAAGTATGATGATAAGAGGAATCTAGTATCTTGACTTCCTTTCTTGGGGGGAAGAGGCATGTTGTACGTGTGGCTTTTGTACAACTTGATTGTGCTCATACCGTTGTTTTTCATGTTTTGGCAGAGAGAAGGAGCAAGAAAGGGAAGAACAGTTAATGGAAGACAAGAAAAGGAAGAAAGAGGATAAGAAAAAGAAGGAATCTGCTCAGAAGGTAGGTTTTGATATTTGAATTTTTCTATTCAGCCGGAACATAAATAGTTTTGGGGGTGGTAAGTTGTTAAATTGTTTGTATTTGAGCTTAAAAACTTGATTGTTCAGAGTGATGCTTCATTAATGACTATTTTTTGCATAATTTTCCTGGAACTTAAGTGTTTAACTTAGACATTTCTTCTCCTTAGTGTGTCATGTGAAGTAAAAGAAGTTTTTTGATATAAAGTATTAAACAAGTTATTGAACATGGGTTCTCTTGACCTGTGCAACTCCTGCTGTTTTGAGGTGTTTGGGGATGGGAATGCTGCCGGGCTTTTGCAATTCTTGCAGTAAAATTGACTTAAGTATTTTCTAAAGCAAGAAGATACGGGGTTTTTTTTGTAAGTCCTTAAGGAAGTTTATAAGAAATATTTACTACTGAAGGTTCCCTTTATTTTTTGCTAAGTATCACTTAGGTTTTATGTTTTCTGTAGCTAATAGCACTTCTGCTGAACTGTATCAGTTCAAGTCTAAGCCATGGAGAATTGATAAGTCACTGAAAATTGTTTTTGCTCAGAAAATGGGTTTGAACTTTTGCTGTATTAGAAGCTCTCTGTTTTGCTGAAAACCGAGTAGATTGTTCTAGGAGTTAACTTGACATATGAACTTGAGTCTCTTGCAGCTTTATCCATTCTTTTTACTGGTACAATCTTTTCTGTCTAGTTCTGGGCTTCCCGGTACAAGACAGGTGTAACCATCCTGGAGCAGGTCCAGCAGAAGGCCCCTAAGATGATTAAGGGACTGGAGTATCTGACAAATGAGGCAAGGCTGAGCAAGCTAGGGCTCTTCAGCCTGGAGAAGGCTCAGGGGAGATCTTATCAATCAATGTATATAAATACCTTGTGGGAGGGAGTAAAGAAGATGGAGACAGGTTCTTCTCAGTGATGCCTAGTGACAAGGCACAAGGCATTGTGCACAAATTGAAATACAGGAAATTCCACTTAATCATAAAAAGACTTTTTTTTGTGCATGTGTGTGACTGGGCAACCATTGAAACAGGTTTTCCAGAGACGACGTGATGCCTCCATCTTTGGAGATGTTCAAAAATTAATTGGATGTGGCCCTGTGCAATCTGTTTTGATGACTTCACTTTGAGTTGGGGAGACTCCTGGGAGCGGGAGGGGAACAGGGGTGGGAACTGTGGACTAGATCTCCACAGGCTGTCCCTTCCAACCTCAATGATTATGTGAAATTGAGAGCAGAAAGCTTTACTTTCTTTCAGTAGTCTCTGTTTTTCAGTTGCTTCAGTAACAACAGATCCTACGAAAGATCAGACGTTACTCTGTTAGATTCTATAGGTTTCTGCTGAGAACAGCCAGCACTGATTTCAGTTAAATTTTGGCTTATCCAGGGTCTTATCTAGCTTTTTCACCAATTTGAGTCTGTCAGTTTAAATTATTGAATTAGGTGCGGACAAACTGGTGTATTTCTGTTGTCTTTATCCAGCCATTGTGTTGATACGTCCCCAATAATACTGCAAAAGATCAGTAGCTACAGAACAAGGTTTCTTCAGTGTCTTTTTGCCTCAGTGTTGCTGCTGTTTAGTGTTGAAGTACAAAAACTATATGTAGAAACCAGGGGGAGCAGATGCTGGTAAGTAACGACTAGTGACTTGAGGATTATGTGCTGATATTCAATGATACAAGAGAAACTTGAAAAGGTTGTACCGATCATCTTGATAACAGTGCTGTGAGTGTTTACTGAGGAATTGGTGCTTTGAATACAAAGGAGATTTAGCAGCTTTCCTGTGTGGTCCCTCACCTACTAAGTTATTCAGTATGATTGAATGTTACAATATTTTGCCAAAATCTTGGGAAGGGTAAACACTAAATAAGTTGATCTCCTAGAGACCCAACTTAACAGTAATACTTGGAGATATCTGGGGATAGCAAAGCAGGCAACTGAATGGACAGAACATAAATGTGTGTGTTTGTTCTTAGTGACTGTGGGGGTGTTCACCAAATAAGCAGTAATGATTTGGGGGTACCTTTTTCAGACAGAGTTTGTCTGAAACAATTGTTTCTGTCTGGATCTTCTGAAACTTAAAAAATAAAAAAATTACTTCAACAGAGATTATGCAGGCAAATTCACAAACTAAATTCCTGTGGCTGGTGTCCCAGGGGCCGTTTGGTAGCTTGTCAGAAGGCTGAGTTTGACTCCACCTTCCCATTTACTATAGCTGCTCCTGCCCTGCTGATGCTTCTAGGTTGCCCACAGAGAGATGACAGGTGTAAATCTAAGGCAGTGTCACATTTTCTCAACTTCTGTATTCTAGACAAAAGAATCGCAAAAACAAATCATTTTGACTAGGAGAGAGACGCAGTATAGGCACAAGTAATTTTTTTTTCTTCCTAAAGCAAACTGTGGTTATCATGTAGAATTCTTTAAAGATTTGGTAAAATGGGGTTCTTCCAAGTAGACAAGTTACTAATTTACTGAACATGTTTACTGTTGACCATAGTAAACCTATCAGCATTAGCAGATTGGATTCATGAATAACTTTTTCCCCCCCTCTTCCTTTTCCTTTAGTAGTGGACCATCAGAGTCACTTAAGTGCTTAACAATTTTTAACTGTTACAGAAGAAGACGTAATTTGATGCATACAGGATTTTTCACAAGTGAAGTGAATGTTGATGTCTGGCTTGGTACAGACGCAGTTTTGGTACAGGTGCATTTTTAGTGTCTTGGAGACTTTTGGATTACCTAATTCTGTGAAGTTAGGATGCCTAAGATTTTGTATTATAGCGAATGTTCCACTTTGCATATTGCAGTGTTCATCTTTGCAAAGTGAATGATGCCATAGCAATTCAGTACAGTTTGTCTTTTTATTCTTTACCGTACAAAGGAGTTCTGGCTTGGTTGGTTTAAACAATAAACTGCTTTTTACTTGTGCTTTCATTATTCTATACTGTCACTATGTGCTTTCCAGAATTATGGACTAGTTCAGCAATTTCTTTTAAGAATAGGTGTCATAGAACCTGACACATGATGATCTTTAGGGTTTTTCCATTATTGTGTAGTGGAACTCATGATCGACAGGTTCAAAACATGCTACAATACACATGATTCCAGAGAATATGCCAGTGGTATGTTTGTCTCTACTATAGCTTGAAATCTGCTATGCTGAAAGAATGTAGAAGTACAGCAAAACCACATATTGAGTATGTTGGCCAGCGTGATGGCTCACTTCAGTAATCAACTTCTTATTGTTTTCAAGAGATTTTGAAGTCTGGTGTTTTATAGATATTGCTGGTACTTTTTGTAGTTGTGGCAATGAATCCAGTAAGGTTTAGGATTTCTCCTTGGAAGAGATGTCATGGGAAAGGTAAAATGGGAAGATAGCAGAAAGACTGCTATTCTCACCTCTGGTTACTCCTGTGGAAATTCCATTGCCAGCCCCAACAGTCTGCTGTAAGGATACTCTTACAGAAGGAAGTTTTCGTTACGCTTTAACTGTAGTACTTCACCTCCAAAATCTGAAAGAACTGTAGTGCTATAGCACATGTTTATTTGTGTTTTGGAAGTCCATGTTTGGGATGAGGAGGGGGGGTGTATACCAAAAATCATCATGAGTGAAGTAATTACGGTTTCTGCCAGGGACTCTTGCATCAGGCAAAGGTATTATAGGAGCTGTAGTATTTTTGAAAACTTCATATATATGACTAGGAATACTGTTTAGACTTGTAGTTCATCAGCTGATTATTTTCATGCAACAACAAATACTGTTCTTGTGCTAATAAATTAAGGTCATGATTTAGTGCAGCCTGTTCAATGTTTGTTTTGAGGTTCTTAAAACTCTATTTACATTCTTGCTCTTAATTTGCAGGTCACAGATCAAAAAACCAAAGGTAAGAATCTGATCCTAAAGAGTATTTTTTAATTGACTTGAGCCAAGACTCGGATCTTGATCAAAACTGTTGGAAAAGGAGGGGGAATTATGAGTCAAGATGAAATACTGAAGATGTGTATTCAGAAGAAATAAAAAACTAGAACTATCCATGTTGTCAGCATCAAAATACTTGAAGAGGGAATGAGGATTGTGGATAAAACAGGTTAGCTGAAATATTTAGTTTACAGTTTTGCAAAGGTTTTAGACAAGTAACCAAAAACTGAAACCACCTATATAAATGGAATGGAAGACAGGGAAAGCACTGCTTGTGGTGAGGTACCAAAATGAGTGAAAGTGACTTGGTTTTGGAAACTTAAGAGAAGTTCAGGCACTTAAAAGTTCAACAGATAAGGCAGGACTGATGAGCATCTTGAAAGTTAAGCTTATTTAGCTGATCTAAAAATATATTTAATCTTGATTTGCATGTCAGTTTTCTAAAAATTGTGTGAGGAAATTGCCGTTATTGACAGAAAGGAACTAAGATAGTAACTTGATTTTACAGCTAACAATACCTTTGTTTGGGTTTGGGGCAATGAAGCCTATATAGAGAAATCAGAAAACCCTTATCAAAATAAAATGTGGGGAATAACGCATTCATGTTGCCAAAGAGAGACTTGCTTGTTTTGATCTTACATTTGTAAGAGGAAGAGTTTTACTGATTATGTTTACTTTGCTGGGGAGGGGTTTCTGGACATCCTTTTCTTGTATTAATCGTCAACAAAGGCTAGAGTAGATGTGTTAAATTTTCCTTGCCTTGGGAGTCTGATGTCTTAGCAATTACACCTTCTAGGTGCCTGGCTAGGAATTTCTTCTGCTCTGTTTCAAAAAAGCACATGGAGAATGTCAGTCAGGGGTCACAAGTCTAGAGTCTCTTAAGCAAATTTTGTGATGGTGTTAGTTCCTCAAGGATTTGTTTGTGGTTTTCCTCTTCTCCAATGCATAATAGCCCTCAGAAGCGGCTTGTCCTGGCTTATAGGGGCACCTGGTGACCAGCTGGGAAACTTTAGGCGAGTCCAATACAAATGCTGTATGTAGGACTGCCTTTTGGGTGAGAGTGAACTATTACTGCCTTATTTAAGAGCAGTACAGAGAACTCAGATTTGTTAACTCTGAATCCAAGGGGGGGGGGGTGTCCCCTCTTTTTGTTTGTTTTGGCAGTGGCTGTGTAGCCTAGTAAGCAGGTGAAAACTTAGGATCTGATTTCAGATCTCCCATAAGGGGGTGATGCATAACAATCCAAAAACCAGTTGAAGACCAGCGAACAGAACGGGGGTGAAACCAGTTATATTTGACTGCTAATATTTTAAAATGACTCATTGCCCAGGGTGGTATTCTTTCCCAACTTAACATTTTCAAGAAATTTGGGGCTTATGGTGAAATACTTGCTGAGGGCAGAGTTTCATCCTGGGGTACAGAGTTGCACATGGAAGCACGAGGTTTGCTGCTACTGCTTATTCCTGCTTCTTTAATTAAATTGTTCTTCGATAAGGTTGAAGTTGCACAGTATTTCAGAGAAGAATGAAATTATAAAAGGAAAGAGTCACAGTGAGTTCTTGTAGCTAACACAGGTTTAAGTGGAAAAATTTCTGATTTTCATTCTTCCTGTTTTTCAGTGCCCGAAGTGACGAAACCAAGTTTAAGCCAACCAGTGGCTGCCAGCCCAATTGGCAACTCTCCATCGCCACCAGTCAATGGTGGCAACAATGCCAAAAGGGTGGCAGTACCGAACGGACAACCGCCAAGCGCCGCCCGCTACATGCCTCGGGAGGTGCCGCCGCGATTCCGTTGCCAGCAGGACCACAAAGTGTTACTGAAACGTGGGCAGCCCCCTCCGCCATCCTGTATGCTCCTTGGGGGTGGAGCAGGGCCTCCTCCCCCAACAGCACCAGGAGCAAACCCAAACAACGCACAACCAGTGACAGGAGCACTGCTGCAGAGCGACAGTGGGACTGCAACAGGCAAGTAATAATAATAATAATATTAAATGAACACGTGTGTGTGCATGGCAGAAAAGGGATCACTGAAATTGTGCATAAGCATGTCATATAATAAAACTCCTCAGATTGCTTTTGGAGAGCTTACTTCTACTATTTTAGTATATAGACTTTTCTTTTGCTGTTAGTGGTGATGGATGCAATTCTTACTACTAGATGGAACAAGAAAGAGGGTTAATTTTTTTAAAATATGTCTTGGGTGCTTTGAATCAGATGCTGTAATGCTCTTAGGACCGCAGCAAGGTAAACATAATGCATGGATAAACAGCATTTTATGGTTGTCGTTGAATAGTTCTTAATAGCTCTTTAGGTTTCTTTGACATTAATTTCCTATCTTGTCACTTTTTTATATGATCTAGTAAAACAGACATGTAGATACCAGGTCTGCAAATGGCAGGTGTCTGTCACTTCTGATCTGGATGAAATAGAAAGATGGTCCTTTTGCTCCTGACTTTTTTTAGTCGTAATCTTGTTTTTCTCCTTAGATAAACCTTTTTATAGAAGTGGTGATTGTCTTGTTTTTGCTTTTCTGTTCACTTTGAATTTCAGAAGATAAATTGATTTTAAGATTAGTTGTTTTATGAGCATGGGGAAATTGATTGCTCCTGAATTTTTAAGACCCTTGGAGAATTGCAGTAACTGTAATAATTCCTTCTTAAGTTATGATAGTAGAACAAACAAAATTCCACTCAAAACATCTGCCTCCTAAAGAAAAACTTAGGTGATCTGATAAGTCAAGGACAACTTCAGTTCTAACAATAAGGGTGTTTAAAAAAGAAATAATAGATGCTTGATAGTCAAGAGAAGAAAATAACGATACCACTATGTCTGAGTTTGCCTTTGAAAACTATGCCATATTAATGGGATTTTGTTTTTTTTTTTTTTTAACCACAGTCTTGGAGAGCATAAAGTTTTTATAGTTCTTTATGGTTCAGAAGAAAAAACAGAGGTGACTTGGAACTCCAGAATCAGGGAAGCTAGATGGGATGGCTGTCTTTATTAAAAAGGATTCTAGGAAAATGAATAATTCTGTTTGTTTTGTGGTTTCAGTACTTGAATTCCTTTGTAGCAAATTCCTGTTTGACAGATTATTTATCTTGTTGTCTTTGATGTTCCCAATTTAATAAGGGGGGGTGTGCGTGTGAATTTCAAACTACAAGGGCAAAGTTTTAGCTAATCAGTTTAAAAACAGATCTCTCAAGAGATGGCTGATTTTGATAAAACACCTGAAACATGGGGAGGGTGGGGAACTCACCCCAAAGTCTTCCAACTATATATAAAATCCTAGCATTATGTCAGCATTAGTATACCTTCACAGTAATTGTAGTAGGCTGACAAAGGAGACTTTATGGTAGTGAAGCATTCTAAAAGTTTTCAGAATTTCTCATGAACAGCATTTTTTGCTGTTGGATGTACTATATGAGGACACTTCTGAAGTAGGAGAGGCTCCTTAAGTTCTATGTAAGTAATTTGACACCTGATATTTGTTTTTCTGAGACTGAAATTTGATTTTATGAATTCTCATATTTTTACATTTAGCTTAATGGTGCATTAACAACTAAGATGTTACATTGATTGTGGCAACTTTTTATGCCAATGGTTAATTGCTTTATCCTGATGTAAGTCAGGAGTGTTGCCAAGAAAGATATGGGTCCTTCAGATCTGCATCACCCTATCCAAATTTCTACACCATAACACAGTTAACTGGGCTGGGGGGCTGACTTGGATTAAAATTAACCCAGGTTGTCTTTTAAAGCTAATTTCAGTCTGGGTGATTTACCAGTGCAGCTCACTGAATATCAGTGGGAACATATGTGCTAGCATGTGAGAGTAGGTGTGCCAGAGGAGTGGGAATGAGCAGCTGGACAAGAGAAATGCTGTCACTTGGAGTGCTCCATCAAAGTGCTTATGGAAGTATGGTGTTGCTATCTGTTTCGCACGTCATTAATCCCATCTGAGATCCTGGCTGTTTACAAATTGGATTTCAGGTTGGGCCCAATTCTGTCAGGCACTTAAGCACTGATACTGTGATTAATTCATCCCACGTGAAAACAAAAGCAGGTTCCCAAAGGGGAAAATAATGCAGCTTACCTAGTCCTTCACATTGTTATATTCGCCACATATCTATAGATGGTGTTGGTGAGGCTTTAATACAAAAAGTCAATACATAATCCTTCTTTTTCTACCAGAATTGAAATGCTTCTGTAAGGTGGTGAAACTCTAGTTCCCTGACAGATTACACCAAATTTACTATTGTCCCGTAGCAATATGGGGGGTTGGGGTGGAGGGTGGTGTATATAATTCTTCCAATACCAATGATATTCAGGATATGCAAGACAATTTTGAAAAACAAAGCTTAAATTTTATTGGTGAAAGTCTTTAATTAGTTACAATACTTTCTTAAGAAACACCACCATATCTCACAGCAAAACTGCATCTTCATTTCAGGACTCCATTTCAATACTTTCACTTATTTCAGTTCCATACTCTCATCCTTAAAAAGCAGTCATTTCCTGGTAACTTTTTTCATTTTAGTCAGATCAGAAACTTGTTTATGTTCAGCATGTTATTAAGGAAGAGTCAGTTTTAGAACCCTTACCCATTATCTTAAGACAAAACCATAAATTGCCAAAATTTTGTTACCACTGTCAATGGCAAAGGGAGGCTGGTTTTATAGAACAGTCCATTAACTTGTGTCCTAGTGCGCTATGTTAGGAAGTATCCCAATCTTAATACTTTTAAAATGTCTTTGCAGAAATGAAATATGAAATGCTCTGTTAAAATCACCAATGTGAAGATCTTGCTAAATGTATAACTGCCTATGCATCATTCATTTGCTGAATCATTGCTAAGTTCAAAAGACAGCAATCTTGCAGTCTTTTAAACTTGTCTTTGGCTGTCCTCCTTAAGCTATTCCTGTGATCAGTCTAATCAGAAAGTTTTTAAATTGGGGGGGGGGAAGGGAGGGGGTTACTCAGTGTACTAAAAAGATAGCAAGATACAAATATCGGTGGACAGTCAGACTTCCTTGCTATTGTTAAGTTTGCACTTGAGGTTAAGGCAACAGAAGGAACAGAATGTGCATGGGAACTGCTTGGTCTTTTGGATCTTGGTGTCTAGGATTTAATGGATGAAGACAAACTTCTGTTCATCAGTATTCAAAGCTTACAAGAGAGTTCTGACCTTGCTGTGAAGTCTGGATCTTTACTGGTGGCCCTCAATGAAGGGGGATCTGGAAGACATTCAGTGGGTGTTCATTGGTTAAGCTAATGAACTGAAAGCCTGAGACAGGCGCTGAAAGCTGATCTGTTCATGTTCTATTAAAAGTATTAGCAACCAGAAACTGTGGTCTTCACTTTTTGAATATATAACATAGGAACTTGGGGGGGGGGGGGGGGGAGGGGCCGCAAGGGGAGGGCCTTATTTTCATGGAAGCTGTCATATGAGCCAGTAGTAACAATATATATTCAGGTATGACTACTGATGCTGATGTTACTATGAACTTTATGCTCTGCAAAATAAGTTAAACTGGTTGGGTGGGATAACTGAGTAAGACTTAATATATAAGGATTCAATACATGGTTTTGTAGAAGGGAGTGTGTTTAGTCTTCATCACTGGGAATTTGTGGCGAGGGCAATTTAGGGTCCCTTGGTATTAAAAATACATAGAAAAATGAGTGGAACCCTATATAGAGAACACCACTGAAGTACTAATGGACTTAAATTATTTAGAGGATCAGAAGTAATGATGCGGATGGCAAGGGAATCTTGTCTGATGTTTTAAACTAATGATGATAACGTGTCTGCATATATGCAGACATCGTGCTGCCAGCACTGACATAGGCTTCATCCATCGTGGCACTGTGTTAATTTATGTCTGCTTTAAAACTGTATACAAATACTTTGTCTATGTGAAGTCATGCCACATAGGACATAATAATAGTTCACCACAGATGAAAGAAAGGGACCCTATTCATTGTCGTTCATCCTGCTAATTTCCTTATAGTGACTCCAAAGCTCATTGAATTTGCAGGTTGCCGTGTACAATGTGCTAAGCCAGCAAAAAACTAACCCATCAGAAAGTGGACAGTTTTGTGTTGAATTAGTGAATACAGTTGACTTAGTTAAAGGGCTTAACTGCCATCAGAACTGTCACAAATGAGAGGTGAAACTTGGGGAACTCGACGTAGGTGTAGAGCTGGTGAGAGAGAGAAGGAAAAGTGAGATCTTTTACTAGCCTCCATCCAGTGGCAGGGAGATCAGCTTAGGTGCTTGCAAAACCACAAACTGTGGTTTCTAGGGTAAATATAGCAGTGACACAAATGTGGGGTAATTACATACTGAATGCAGCTTGCACGTTACTACATAGAAATTGTAATTTGTGTAGCTTTGGACTCTTTTGATTTACAGTAACTTTTGGAAATAATTTTATTTGTTTTGCAAAGAGTTGATAGAAATTCCTAGTAGCAAAATCAAGTTGAAAAAGAATAGACTTCTTCAGCTTTATATATTCATTAGATGCTTTTTGTCTTCAATCCTTTATCTGTTATAATTACTATGTTGAACTTAGAGCTGGACTGTTAGCAGAAGTAGTGAGTCAATGGTGAATTCAAATGTCAGCAAAATGCTTGTGGGGAGTTTGTTGAAAGAAATTTTTTTATCAGTATTTTCAATGGTGTTTTCCAGCCTTCCAAAGCAACTTTGTTACACATTTGAGGGAAGGGTTCTGATTAATGAAAACAAGTAATCAGTGGTGTCAAAAATGTGATGTTCAGTGCTTGTAAATAATATTCATTATTAATGACCTTTTTGGGTGTGGGGTTTTTTTCTAGATTCAGCAATTGGAGGTGCTGCTGCTTCAAATTATGCAAATTCCACTTGGGGTCCTGGAGCCGCCTCCAACAACGGCACCAACGCCAACCCAACTCACATCTGGGACAAGGTGATTGTAGACGGGTCTGACATGGAAGAGTGGCCTTGTATTGCCAGCAAAGATGCTGAGTCTTCTTCCGAAAACACCACCGATAACAACAGTGCCTCGAACCCTGGCTTGGAGAAGAACGCTCTGCCAGGAAGCACCACTAGTAACAAAGGAAAAGGAAGCCAGTGCCAGTCTGGAAGCGCTGGAAACGAATGTAATCTTGGGGCCTGGAAATCTGATCCCAAGGCTAAATCTGTTCAATCTTCCAACCCTGCTGCCGAGAGTAACAATGGACTAGGTAATTGGAGGAACTTGAGTGGACAAGATAGAATTGGTCCCAGTTCTGGCTTCAGCAACTTTAACCCAAATAGCAACCCGTCTGCTTGGCCGGCACTGGTTCAAGAGGGCAATTCTAGGAAAGGGACTTTGGAATCTGATAGTGGTAGCTCCAATGCACAGATTAGCACAGTAGGTCAGACCTCTAGGGAACAGCAGTCAAAGATGGAAAATGCGGGTGTTAACTTTGTCTCTGGCAGAGAACAGGCTCAAATTCATAACACTGATGGACCAAAAAATGGAAACACTAACTCCTTGAACTTAAGTTCACCAAACCCTATGGAGAATAAGGGAATGCCCTTTGAAATGGGCTTGGGGAACCCTTCCAGGAGCACTGACACCCCTTCACAAAGCACTGGAGAAAGAAAGACTGGGAGTGTTGGATCTTGGGGTACAGCTAGGGGGTCTTCTGGAACTGACACAGTCTCTGGACAGAGCAATTCTGGAAACCATGGGAACAATGGAAAGGATAGAGAGGACTCCTGGAAAGGAGCTTCTGTTCAAAAACCTAATGGGTCAAGAAGTGATTCTTGGGATAACAATAACCGGTCTACGGGTGGTGGGTCTTGGAACTTTGGCCCTCAGCATGCAAATGAAAGCAAATGGGGTGAAGGGAACAAATTAACATCTGGGGTCTCTCAGGGAGAATGGAAACAGCTGTCTGGGTCTGATGAACTGAAGATTGGAGAATGGAGTGGTCCAAACCAACCAAATTCTAGCACTGGAGCATGGGACAATCAAAAAGGCCACCCTCTTCCTGAAAACCAAGGCAATTCCCAGGCTCCCTGTTGGGGAAGATCTTCCAGCTCTGCGGGAAGTGAGGTTGGAGGTCAAAGCACTGGAAGCAACCACAAAGCAGGAAGCAGTGACAGTCACAATTCTGGACGCCGATCATATAGGCCTACGCATCCTGATTGCCAGGCAGTCTTGCAGACTTTGCTGAGCAGGACTGATTTGGACCCCCGAGTGCTTTCAAACACCGGCTGGGGCCAAACTCAAATTAAGCAAGATACCGTGTGGGATATTGAAGAGATGCCACGGCCCGAGGGGAAGTCTGATAAAGGAACTGAGGGGTGGGAGAGCTCTGCCACACAGACAAAGAACTCAGGGGGCTGGGGCGATGTACCCAGCCAAAGCAATCAAATCAAGTCTGGATGGGGTGAGCTCTCAACCCCAACGGAGTGGAAGGACCCCAAAAATACTGGAGGATGGAATGACTATAAGAACCCCAATTCTTCTAATTGGGGAGGAGGAAGACCAGAAGAAAAATCATCTTCCTCTTGGAATGACAGCTCTAGTAAGGATCAGGGGTGGGGCGGACGGCAACCTAATCAAGGCTGGTCTTCTGGAAAGAACGGCTGGGGAGAGGAAGCTGACCAAACAAAAAACAGCAACTGGGAAAGTGCAGGAAACAAGCCAGTGTCTGGTTGGGGTGAAGGTGGGCAAAATGAGATTGGAACTTGGGGTAATGGTGCAAATACAAGCGTTGCTTCAAAGGGTGGATGGGATGATTGTAAAAGAACTTCAACATGGAATGAGACGGGTCGACAGCCCAACTCCTGGAACAAGCAGCAGCAGCAGCACCAGCAGCAACAGCAGGAGGCTTCTGGTTCCTGGGGTCCACCGCCCCAAACTCCAAATAATGGGCGACCTCCAAACCCAAACTGGAACAGCGGACCACAGCCAGCTGCCCCCAAAGAGGAGGAGCCTAGTGGCTGGGAAGAACCTTCTCCACAGTCAATCAGTCGAAAAATGGATATTGATGATGGCACTTCAGCGTGGGGAGATCCTAGCAGTTATAACTACAAGAATGTGAACCTGTGGGACAAGAACTCACAAGGAGGACAGGCCCCACGGGAGCAGAGCCTGCCTACTCCAATGACTAGCAAATCACAAGCATCAGGTACTGGTCTTGTACCTTTTTTCAGCAAGCTCCTATATATGAATGTAATCTTAATGCATAAGAGATACTCGTGCAGCCTCCAATTCCTAATAGTTTTATTCCATAAAGAAAACCAATTTCTTATTTGAATATTTGGTTTTGTATTTCAAGTGTCTTTAAAATTTGAATCAATCAGTCCTCTGCTTGTTGTGACTCGGTAACTCTGATCTGAATACTTGGTCAGCTTGCCAGTAAAATAAAATGTTTGTTAGCTGACAAACTTCTGAGCTCTGAAGAAGAGTTTGAATTACAGAATCATAGAATTATTAAGGTTGGAAAAAAACCTTTAAGATCATCAAGTCCAACCATAAATGTAGCACTGCCAAGTCCACCACTAAACCATGTCCCTAAGCACCACATCTACACATCTTTTAAATACCTCCAGGGATGGTGACTCAACCACTTCCCTGGGCAGCCTGTTCCAATGCTTTGACAACCCTTTCAGTGAACACATTTTTCCTGATATCCAATCTAAACCTTCCCTGGCACAACTTGAGGCCGTTTCCTCTTGTCCTATCGCTTGTTACTTGGGAGAAGAGACCAACACCCACCTTGCTACAACCTCCTTTCAGGTAGTTGTAGAGAGCAATAAGGTCTCCCCTCAGCCTCCTTTTCTCCAGACTAAATCACATTTTTTTGTATGTAACTATTAGAGAAACGGTGAGAAATTCTTTACTTTTTTTTAGTCAAAGCCTTTTTGCTCTGAAACACTCAGTTCACACTTGAAACTGAGCAAGTCTGTGATTTAGTTTTTAGCTCAGTTTGGCTCTGTTGAATGATAAAGAATACTTAGCAAAATATTTTCTCCTTTGAAATAAGGACAAGAAAAAGTTACATAGCCTGGAAATATATTAAGATGTTATTGTTACGTAATCTCTTCTCTGACTCAGACATGCTTTAAAGAATACTATTTCATTTTAATATGTTCTTTAAATATGTCCTTATTCTTTCTTCAGTATATGAAAACCCTGAGTTAGTCTGATGCTTTTAATTAGTCACAAAAGTTTACGAGACAGGAGGACAGCATTAGATGTGGGGTTCATGTTTAACCTGGGAGAATATTATTACTCATCATAGCATTCTTTTTCATCCCTAGAGGTCAGTGCCCACTCTAAGTTTGATGTGAACAGTTGTCAATTCTGTTGCACCCACGCTATTGAGAATCTAAAGTCCTCAACAGAAAGAACGAAGCAGTAGATTAATGACGTGGTGCTGCACTGCAGTAAATAGTTCGTTGTCTAAATGGTCTGTAATGAAAACTCTTTCTCCTTTGTGCAGTCTGGAGCAAAAGCACTCCACCTGCTCCAGATAATGGTACGTCTGCCTGGGGTGAGCCAAATGAAACCAGTCCTGGGTGGGGTGAAGTAGATGATACAGGAGCATCGACAACAGGCTGGGGGAATGCACCTTCCAACGCCCCGAATGCCATGAAATCTAGTGAGTATAGGCCAGATACCAGTTTCTTTGCAATGGTCCTGGAGATTTTTAGTGTTTGGCCTTTTGATATAGGTCACCCATGGAGGAATTGTTATCTGAGGCCTAGAAGCAATGTTGAATGTCGTGTAAGATTTTGATGAATGAGTGATAAAGTGCTTACAAATGACTGGAACTTTGTCTTTTAAGGTAATGAAAACTTTCTTAACTAAGCAATTAAATGGGCAGCTCTGATTTGTACAAGTGTTGAAACATTAGAGCATGTGAGTGAGGAAATACGTCTTTTTCTCAAAATGGCTTTTCTTTCCTGGCTGCCCACGTGTTACTTAGCATATAAACTTGGTACGTGATAAATCACTTTTCCTGATCATATCAGAAAAAGGAATGTGCAGTACAGACAGATTTTACAGTGGAAGCCATTACATGGTAATCTATGCTTTGGTAATGCAACCTGCCTTTTTTATTTATTGTATGAGTGTGGAAAATTGTAATGCTTAAGAACTGAACTTTCTTTTGTGTTTGAACCTGAATGGATGACTATTTTCTGGATATTACCTGCCTACAGCTGTGTTCTCCATGAATGAGATGCTGTTGAAATCTTCAAAAATTTACTTTGAAGTTAAAATTTTGCTGTATTAAGAGTTTTATTTTTGTGGAAATTATTCCTGCTGATGTAAGCTGTTTGTAGAACTTTTATTTCAGTCTTTTTAAGGAAAATACAACAAACAAAAGCAATCACCTGCTGATACAACATAGCAGCGTTATAGCCAAAGCCAATAACGTTTGGATATGAAGTTTCCAGTAGGAAATATTGATAATACATGACTGTTACTGAACTTGGCTGATGATACCCGCTGTAAAACTGTTTCCAGTTACAAGTTGCCTTTGCAACATGTAATTGTTTGGAATGAAATGCTCTATACAGATGGTATGCTGCTGGGTCATTCTCCCTTCCTCCAACCCCAATTAAATAGTTTGGCTATTTATGAAACAAAACTGGGAAAAAAGCATTGCTTCCTTAATGTTAACATTATAGCAGCCTTTCTTGGATGGCTGTAGTGCTTCCTGTGCCTGCCACACAAACTTGGCACTTTTCAGGATGCTAGACTTTTTTTAGATGGATCTCTTTTTTTCATCTGTAAAAAGACACCAAAATCAGAGCCTCTGAAATGCTAATGAGCCATAGCAAATTCTATGGATTTGTTAATATTTAAGATAGTCTTTAAAGACTATACATGGTCACTTGCTTGTCCTAACTGGTCTGCATATGTGACACAACCAGAGCTGCAGCATATGTGTACTATTTTGTATGTAAGCTGTCCCCAACTCTAGAGGAGCAAAATATAGGGAGTTTCCCCATGATGGCTGTTTCAGGTTGGGGTGTAGTAGGTCACCAGTGTTAAGAGCTGAGATATTCATTCTCCTGTGTTCTGTGACTGCTCTCTCAACTCCTTTCTAATTGGCACCCAGAAGGAATGAAGAAGAAAGCCACGTTATTCAGTGATGTAAGGGGAGATATTTAATGTCTTGGATAAGTTGGAAGAAGAAATTGGGACAAAGAGCCTGCAAAGGCATAATTTATGGTTGAAGGTAAGGACAGGAAACAGAGACTAGCAACGATTGGAAAAGAAAAAAAGAGTTCAGAGCCAAAGAAGGGAAGCATAGATCATTGCCTACCTGTTTAAAAAAAACGGATTTACATAGTTTTACCAGCATTGCATAGGAATTCTCTGGCAGAAGTAGGAATAAATTCATTTTTCTGTAACATCATTATTTTGTCTTTATCTTGAAAGTTTCCTTTGCTTACTGTAGCTATTTGTGCCGCCTCACTCAACAAATTCAGAAAATGAAGCAGGAATCCTGCAGACAAGTCATCTGTACACCACTGTCCAGATTCATGTTCAAGAATCTCAGACCTGAGAGCTGTCAATGTAGAAAAATAGCCTATGGCCATGTAGTTAAAACCAGGATCATAGTACTATATTTAAACACTGTGGCCGGAAATACATTAAAGCTGCAGGGACTACCCCGTATATGACATTTCCAGATTAAGTTCTTGACTCTGCAGTCGTAATCCTTAAATGTAGTCTTTTCTGTGTAAGTAGCATGATTAAAGGATCAAGAGGTAGATTTTTGCGCTGGGACCAGTAGGTTTCCTAAGCAGCCCTCAATTTTGGTACACAGATGAATATAATTTAAAAATTTGTTTCCTGTGAAGTATCTGAGTTGTTATTTATGATGGATTTTTAAGGTAGCTCTTAAACTGCCATGAAATGCTTCTGTACTTACTTTTGCTGTGATCAAGGTAGAGTTTCCCTTGATAGACTAATTACAATTCCTGACTCTTTTTATATCCATGTTTTCTGCTATGTGTGTTAATATCCTTATCCCTGATTTCCACACTCAAAGTCCAGACAATTGAAGAATTAGTTATGAAAAAGGTGATTATGATGGAAATCTTTTTTAAAGGAGATAAATGCTTAGGGAATAAATATGCAGAATGAAGAGTTACAGTTGAACAGTGGACAAGAGAATTTGGGCTCTTGTTGGCTTGTCAGTAGAGGTTAGAATTCTAAGTTGCCTGATAGCTGGTGCTAGAAAAGAAAAGAAGCCAACAGGGTAAAGTCCTTAGTCTGAATTGATACAATGACATGGTGGTAGCTTTCTGGGAATGGCATCTCTACTTAAACAGCACTGCTAGTAAGTCTTTTTAATGACGTTGTTAAGAATGGAAATTCAAGTAGAGGTGGGTTTTTTCACATTAAACTACTTCTGGTGTTACATATACCAAAGCGCAATGTCAGGTCCTCTCCTTCAGATTCTACTTAATTGTTATTCCTTAAAGTTCTTTGTTTCTGTAATTTTGTGAAAGAGTTTAGTGCAAGGGAAATGTTAAGGTTTTGAAGGAAGAAAGGAAGTAATTGATGAACCACCTGAACCAGAGTCCTCAGCACCCTTGATTTTTAAGTGTCATTGAAGTCTTTCATTTACACTAGAAAATAATAGATTGCCTTTTAAAGAAATCCAAATGTAGCTGTATCTGTATAAGAGAAGAGGTCCCTATGGTTATTATATCTTTAAGGGTTTGACATTGCCTTAAAATAGTTGCAAAACATAACATGCCACCGAATCTCTTGGGCTTTGGGATTCATGCACAAGTTTTTACAGCTGTTAGTGAAGATGCTTTTTTTTTTTTTTTTTTTTACTCCTTTGGGGTTCTGATGATCTCGGCTAATCTTGCAGTGTCAAATCACTAGCTGCATGGTATTGTAGACTGCTTTTGAGCTTTTTTTTCTTTTTCTAAAGGTTCTAAATCTATGCAAGATGGCTGGGGAGAGAGTGATGGGCCAGTGACAGGAACGCGTCATTCCAGCTGGGAAGAGGAGGAGGAGGGAGGAGTCTGGAACACAGCAGGCTCTCAGGGAAGCAGTTCCTCCCACAACTCAACAAGCTGGGGGCAAGGAGGAAAGAAAACACAAATGAAGGTAAAATGCTTGAATGATTCATAACCACTGTGTTGTCTGAAAGCAGTATGACTGATATGTTATAGCATTATAATAGTTCTTCTTTTAAAAAGGTATTACAGAATTCAGCTAGAAAGTTGCCTGTTACAACAGTGTAAAAAATGTGAGGTTTCTGGATTTGTTTTAATGTATTACACCTTTTGTGACTAATAAATCTGCCAGTAGGTGTCGAATTCTTTTGGTGTGTAAGCTGCAGAGCCATTACTAAATGAAACTGAGAAATAAGTATCCCAAGGCTATTGCTCTTCTCTTGTTCACATAGCTTTCTGTGTTAGGCTGTTGCTGTTCTCCTTGCATGGCCTGCTGAAGTTCGGATTCCACGGTCCCTTTGGCACATGCACTTCTTATTTTTACTGACTGTTCGATTTAGGTCTGACTTGTGTTTGTTGTTACTGACCTTTGACCTCAAACAGGACCAGGAGCTTGGCTATAGTCCTGAGTAAATTGTTTTCTAAGGCTTGTTTGTGTTAAAGTTCGCTAGTACAGTAACACTTGGTACTGTATTAATGTTAGAAGGACTATGCTTTGTCTACTTCTAATCAAATAGGTAGTGCAAACTCAAAAGGCGAGTGCAGAACAGCTTCCTAGGATGTGTAAATACTGTTGTGACATGGTGTGGAGTTTTAGAATTCCTATTTTGCAAAAATGATTCTCACAAATTTTTTTCTCACTTAAAGCTTTTTTTATTTTAACCACCAAAGCAGCTGTCCAAAAAATTTTCTTTTCTGTTGAACTGTGTTCAGTTTTGGTTTTGATCACCTGTAAATTACAGTAAGGCCAAATTGAGAGCCAGGTTAGCATAGTGCCCATGTAACAGAAACCATACTAAAGGGAAGAAACCCGAGGAAGAAATCTACCTCTGTATGTGGTGGATTAAAGAACATATTAAACTGTAACAGAGGAAGAAATAAATAACATTCACAAAGCTTCTCAGATTCCAGAATGAAACTGAAGGTGTGATAAACATTCTACACAGCAAGTGTTCATCCAGTTTGGTATACCTAACAATGAACAATTTTATGAGAGAGAAAAGAAGTCTTTTGTAAATGTTTCCAACCACGCAAAAACTTAATTTGTTGAGGAGATTAATTTCTCTGATACCAGGATTTTCGTCCTTGTGCATCTCAAGGATTAAAACAGAACTTAAGAAATCAAGAAATTGCTTAAAAATATTTTTTTGTCTTTTTTTTTTTCCTCTTCAGTGCGCATTAAAAGGAGGAAATAGTGATTCGTGGATGAACCCTTTATCCAAACAGTTTTCAAATATGGGCTTGCTAGTAAGTACATTTTTTAAAATATAAAATCCAACTTTGTAAAAAAGCAGTAAGCTTTAAATAAGCCAAAAGATCAGCTGTTTCACAGTGTGTAACTACTTATTTATCTGCATTTGCTATGCTGGCATGTTGATTTATAATACCTGTAATAGCTGGGTATTCAGCACTTCCTTGCTAGTCAGAATGGCTTCTCAGAAAAACCAAAAACCTACTTTGCCTCTTGAAAGTTACTTTGACAGCTGTTGTTCTGAGATTGCAATTTCCTTGCAAGTAATAAGATTTGAATTTTTTTTAATTTTTTTTAATTTTCATAAAGTGCTGTTTAGAACACTCAAGGTAGAGGCCTCAGCTCCTGGCTGTAGTGTCAGACATCTGTGATTAGTCCGAGGCTATTCATTCTGAATCTCAGCCACCTATCAGAAAAGGAAATTTACAGCCCTGTGTCTGTCTTGGCTATTTATATTTTAAATACTGTGCAGCAGGGTCTTTTTAGGAAAAAAAAGAGCTCATTATTAATCAGTACTTAAAGATTGATTGGTAAAGTGAATAAATAAATGGCACATCATGGAGAGAAAAGACAGATCTGCAGGGAAGTACCTTAAAAATAGTTACATATAAATTTTTTTTTTAAGAACTTCTGACATGCTACTTTGTTAAACATTTTACAGAATATTGTGCCAACTGTCATCCTGTGAAGCAGGAATAGTATGTAATGCAGGCTAGCAAAAGATGATAATACAGAAGTTCTATGAGAAGCCCAGGGCTGCACAAACTCTCACTGACATGACTAGGATTAATTTGTAATGTCTACTGGCTCCCAAGCTCAAATTCAGTCTGCTAGACCTAGATGCTTCTGAAAGCTATGGGAACACCCTGTCCCAGACTGCCAACTAAAGAATAACTTGGCAGTACATTTCAAGACTTGATGACTTGACAGGTCATGAGGATGAGCTATCATTTTGGCCACTATTTTCAGTGTTTCATCTCTTGACCATTGGAACATGAGGACAGAGGTTCATTTCACAGAGCAGCTGTCTATCCATCTTTCTCTGTCGCATGCGTTCATGTGTCTGGTTTCATATGAGTAAACGTGCCACACAGTGTTAGGGGGTCGAGGTGAGGTGTGTCCAGCGTGATATCGGGAATCCTTGTGTTTGATTTTAATTTAAAATAAAACTTTAATTGGCACAAGCATGTCCTTCCTTCATTCCACCTTTAACCATCAAGGGCTGCTTTCTGAAAGATTCCTCAGCATTTCATAGAAGTCAGAACTGAATTTTTTTTTTTCCAGAGTCAAACTGAGGACATTCCAGGCAGTAAGATGGACTTGTCTGTAGGTGCGTATAATTTAATTTAAATGCATTTGAAATATGAGATCATGTGTAGTATTTTTATGTGGATGATATGCTGTGCTTTGGAAAGGTTTGATCCTTACTTTTAGCACTCCTCATAATAGAAGGATAGAGTTACAGCATCCGCTATCTTGGCTGTAGGCTCTGAATAGTTACGCAGCTGATGCTGGTATGCAAGATTGGGTTGTATACCTGTACAGAATGGAGCTATAACTTGTGAAAGGGATATCCTATAAGACTGTTTTGATCTATGTAGTTTGTGTTCATTGTTACTGTTTCAAGAAAGTGAAGATCCCTTTTCATTTGGTGGAAGAGGAGGACTGTTTTAGCACTTGGCAGTAGGACATCCCAATTACCACAGCTCCCTGGAGGTGATGTGAGGGAAAAGAATATCTTCTATTGTGGATTTCTTCAATTGCTTGCCTCAGGCTATTACAAGTTACTGCTCAGTAGAACTAGATTTTTTCACTCTTGATAGCCTCACCACAAATACTACACAGCTTAAGTGCGATGGGCTATGTGGAAAACACTATCCTAAATGAGAGTTGGAATTGACCACTTGGATTAATCCCATTTAATTACCTTTGAATTTGTCATGACTTTCTTCTTTGGCAAACTAAGTAGTGAACTCTCACAGCATTTTTTTTGATCTTGAAATCAGATTTAGTTTTGCATTCTGTTCTTCTCCAAATTGTCTCTGAATATTCACTGTCATGGTATTGCAATAGAAATACCACAGGTTTCTGAAATCTTCTGCCATTTGAGATGGTTTCCCTACAAGATTCCTAAGGTATATATTAAAAAACAGATGATCCAAATCTGTTGTCCTGATTGTTTATTTTATTTGTTATCAAGTCTTTGAAGGCTTAGTAAGGCTAAAAACTTGTACAGGGTAGTCTTTGATACTTACAAAGGGGAAAAAGGTTTCGTTCCTGTTTTAGGGACTGTTCAGTTTTTGATTCTTCAGAATTGACAGAAGCAGGAAGATCACCTCATATCCATGGCTACAAAGACAGATCATCTACTCCACTTAAAGGACATTGCCACTATACAAACCCAACAATAATTCTGGAGAGAGATGTTCATCCTATTTCTGTAACTGTCAGGAATGTCACAGAGGCCTCAGATTCCTCCCAGTTACAATGTCGAAAGCCAGAGATCTGTAATTCTTATTCCAAAGGGTGACATGTCAAAGTAGTACTAGTATTCTCAGCTCTCATCTAGAACAGTAAATTTCCTGTGTAAATGAGGTATGCCCAGGGGGCTCTAAAGAAGCGTGTGTGTAGTGGTTCTGTGTCCGGAAGGGGTCCCTGTTTCAGTGCAAATCAAGTTTGTTATGAAGGTGTGGACACCATTGATTCTGAATCTCATGTGATTAGCACTGAGACCCACAGTATGGCTCAGTAAAACGCAGTAACCATTTTGCCTGTTTCATGTTTAAAAACATTCTGGTACCAAGCTGCTTGTTTCCAGCTACTTCTGCATAATAGCAAAAGTTTCTACCTCAGCTGAGACGCGGATACACACAGGCACAAAAGTGCTGCTGAAAGGACATAAAGGAGTTGGTAAGAAGAGGGGGGACTGGCTGGAGGAGGTGACTGACTTGGAATCAATGCTTATTCTGCTGGTGTTTCTAAATTTCCTGTGGGAGACTCATTTGAATTGATTACTGATGATCCTGTGGTGGTATCTCTGAAGAACCACCTGCAAAAGTAGTTCTGTGTCAGGTCATAGTCTGTGGGATCTCTGGATCAACTAAAATTGGTGTTTACAAGTCAAGTACAGTTAGTTTCAAAGTATGTTCTGAAATTCATTGCTGTAAGCTAGAATAGCGTGGGGTCTGTGATAGAAGTTGGCTATATCCAACATCAAGGATAGAATCTATTTACTTCTGAGGTATTACCTGCCAAAGAAGTTATGTTGTTCAGGTCTGTGACTGACTGTGTGCTAAGCATTAAGTAATCTTACTTTCCAGCATCATGTACATCTATTTTGGTGCATTGGCTCCTGTCTTTGTGGCAACTTCTGGTTTGTTTCGTTGCTTGATTTTTTGGGGTTTTTTGCATCTAAACATCAAATAATGATAGTAGGGAAGGACATAGTAGCAAGAGCTGTTTGTTCAACTCATATAAATACTCCCTGTGGTTTTATGTTTTTTACACATGTCAAGACAGTTGACTAGTCTGATGTGTTCCCCCCATCCCAGAAAGTAATCCAGTAGTAGATACTGCTTTCCTCTAAAGTGTCTTCTGTCCTAGTGATACAATGTCCATATGATTGAAATTGAACCTGTACTGTGGGAGCTTCTGGTAGCAGTGGAAAACTAGATAGCACAAGTTCAAACCCTGCAAATGCAAGCAGTATAAATATTCGTTCTTGATTTGAATAGTAGATTTTAGGGACTACAGGAGGCAGTTCTTGTGAAACTGGCCATTGTGCTATAATTGCAGTTTCTGTGCCATTCTGATTCTGCCATACCTCTTCTGTGCCTTTCTAGTATTGTTGACTAAATTATTCCAATATTATGCCTTGTAAGAAGTCTGCTCTGATGTTGACCATCTTTGCACCAGTGCTTTAGTACTTCCTCATCTGCCACTGTTGTAGCATCACATGTGATGCTGTAGTCAGGATTTCCCAACCAAAAAACTTCTTTTATGGGGAATATCCATTAATCTTTGTTGGTACCAAAGGTAGCATTGTGGTAGTCAAGACTTACTTGCATCTAGTATCAACTCCAGATTTGGTATTCTAATGCAATCCAAATAGCTGCAGTGTCTCTCAGCTTAGAATCCGTTACATTCTTAAAATGTGTATCACACTTCATAGAGGATTAAGTAGTTCATTTTTCCCAAAATTGCTTTCTTCGTCTGAATAGTTAAGGATCGCAATAAGAGATGTTAAAGTGTGCATTTATATAGTACAACACAGTTTTGGGAAAGGTAACAGAATTTTTGGATCACTCCACTTTGGCCTCATATAGCCTCTCTAGAATTCAGGCTCTGATGGTATCATGCTTCTCTAAAGATCTAGACAGAGATGAGTCGTCATCTTGGATGTTCAGTTCTCATCTGCCTTCAGATGCTGCTGTTAAAGAGCAGATCTAAGAATATACAAATGAAGAGGATGGTAGCCTGAATTATGCTGATTATAGCTCTCAGTTCTTTTTCTCCAAATTAAGCTTTTGGATCCTTTAGAACTTTATGCTGTCAAGGACCTTAAGGCCATCAGACCTTCTGAGGAAAGATGGCTGATGCTCAGAATATCCTGTGAAATGGTGCAGAAAGGTTGCATACTTAGTCTTGATATGTTGCACTTCTTTAAGTTTAGTATGCCCATTAATGGTGGCATCCTTCATCCTAGGAAGAGGCATTTGTATATATATAGTATAGATAGTTTGTATTCCGTTTCAAAGACTAAGAATGTAACAGGTCTTCCTGAGGCTTTTCTGTTACCTCTCTGCTTAGCAGTTTTGCTCTTGTTGCTTATGGCAGTTGCTTGTGGAAAATTATAAGCTGTTTTGCTCAGCCTGTATCTACTTTGAAACTTTAAAAGTTGGACTTACTTATGAGGTAGGCTTGTTCAACTGGTTTTCAGTCAGGATTACAACATACCAGGTTTTCCTAACTCGATAACTCCCAGCACGATATTTTCCCAGTTTATGGATAAATGCACATTGATCTCAGAGTTAAATCTGTGCCTGGAGACCACACGTGTCAAAGACGACTTTGGCTTTGATATGCATGGAGCACCTTGGCTCTGATCATCATGCATCGTAAAATAGGTCCAGTTGTCAGTAAGTAATTCTTACTACATTGGTCTCAGTCTCCTTGTCTGAAAAATGTGTTGCTTTTTTTTGCAAGGTGCTGGAGTGACACTTCTATTTACTGACCAAGATAGAAAAGAGATGGATCAATAGCATGCCTGAGGCAGATGTACTTCGTCTTTTTTTTTTTTCCTATCAAATCCCTTCAATGGTTAGCTTGCTTTACTTTGAAAATAGGATACAACTGTTTTTCCATTGAAATCTCTCCTAGTATCTAAGTCCTGAGGCATGAAGTTTGCTACAGTAAGTAGCTTGTCAGAGCCACTTAATATTTTTTCCTTCCTTCTGTTTGACAACCACCTGTCTTTTTTTTTTTTAATGTATTAGTTGCAACCTCTGCAGATCACTGAATTCTCAAATCACCTGTGAAGACTGGGAAATTAATTTCCAATTTCTACTAATTCTAATGCAATTCATGCAGCTTGTCTGTTGTAATATGTTACAAAGCCATAACCTGATTTAGCATTCGGATGCAACATCTCGATATCTAAGTGCATGTACTTGCTCAGTAGGCTTGGATGATGTAAATTTATGGCAAAGGTATAAACCCAGTATCTTTAAAATGTTTTTGTGGTCAAGCAGAAAACATATTTCAAATTTTTTTTTTCCATTTGGGTTACCCTGCTGGATGTATGTATTTTCACCACGTTGTCTTTTGTTTGCAGATGTTTTAGGTAACTTTGCCCAACAGCAGTTTCTGTCTCCTATCTCCCAGTACAGGATCAGATTATATAATTTTTTCAAATAAATTTCTTTTTTTCTTTTAAGCTGTGTGCATGTGGTGGGGGAGATCTACTTAACAGGGTTTTTTCTCATTGGGGCGTGAATGTCATGTTCCAAGTTCTTGTTCCATTTTGCATTTTTTGTGGTGTTTCTCACAGCTGTTAATAGTGGGGAAAAAATCCAAAAACTGATGGGAGTGTCTACTTTTATGAAGATGGTTGGACTTTTAACCTTTTGTACGTTTCTGCATGTAGAGGATTTGGGGCTTCATATTTATTCATGCACAAGTGTTCTTGCCTACTGCAGAGGGTAAAATTCAAATTTTTCAGATTTTAAAGGTCGTCTTGTACTATGTAAGGTAAAGCTAGTCTTCAGCCACCTGCATTATTTATAGTTCTTGTTGGCAAGTGCAAAAGACAGACTCACATGACAGGTTTCAAGGTTGCATTAGAATTTTCTATGAATGGGATGAATTAATGCTATCATTTCTCAGCAAGGCCTTGTTTATACTGAAGTTTAAACAGCTGCCTCAGCACTAAGTGGCATGCATATCTATGTTTGAAGCCTTTAAAGGTGCTATTTAATGCTCTACATGTTATTTAACAAGCCGTTTTACAAGGCATCATTCAGTAATGTTTGAGGAGTTGATTGGATCATCAGGATAACTGAAGAGACAAAAGGGTGTTTCTCTGGCTTAGTCATCTTGTGTTGGCATTGACCCAGTTTCTTTTCAGGTAGTGATGCAAGTCTGTCTCGCTTTCAGTTTCTTTTCAGGCAACTAACGGACAGGGCTTCCTGTCTAGAATTAAAGCACACAAGCCTTTTGATAGTGCATTGCTGGCATTGTGTGTAGTAGTTAGATGTAGGTAATGACAGGATTGAGTTGTATGTGACATTTTATGGGACTGCTTTTGCAGAGCCAGTTCTAGCTTTTTAGGATATGTTAGAAAGGAATGAGTTCATCCAGGTCAGTATGACTCCAGTTACTAAGCCAAGATATGTAGGTGATTTGTCAAGTGTTTTCGTGATACATCATGTTGAAGGCATGTGAGAGGATGAAGCTGGATCAACTTTGAAAGCTGTGCCAGCAAGAAAAACCCATGTAATTAGTGGTTGATTTCATAGGTTCTTGGCAATAACATAGCTATGAATATTAATAGTTTGTGATTGGACATTAAGAAGAGGTGCTGGCTTTGAGAAGCTTTTTTGAGGAACAGGTGAGTGTTTTGAAGGTATCAGAGAGATTAAGTGTCTGCTCTGTTTGATAAAGACTTAGTGTTTTGTCAGTGGTAGGGTAGGATATCTATCACCAACTTCCTTTGGAAGAGTCATAGGTTGTGGTTAACTGTGGTGACAGATTTTTTAAACTGTTCTTGGAAAGGCCATCTGTGCTACTAAATGAAATTATTTAAAACTAAAAATAGCAGTAAAGTTCACTTCTATCATGTTGTCCATATTTTAAAACGAAGATGTCTTCCATCTACTTCAACATAACAATATGTATCTGATACCTTACAGATGTCAAATATGACAAAAAGAATTGTTCCTTGGCAGCAGTTCAGTGTGTAAGGTAGAAAACTTCCTTCAGTCAGCACTTGGCTGATGATAAGCTTATAGAGAAGGATGATGTCTCGTTCACTGTGTATGTTACAGTTTGATCATCTGTTACTAACATCTCTCCCTCGTGTTCCACCAGATTACTCACTAAACAATGGTAGGAGACTGTAGGGGATGTTTGAAAAGTGTTTCTGTTCCTGGTTGTGTAATCATTGCATACAGGCTGAGGGAGACTGGTTGTCTGTCTGGAAGTTACACTATACCAGATGATCTGTGGTGTTCAAGAGTTAAGTTCACATGACTGTAGGAGAGCTGTGATCAAATTATGTGCGTGGTTTTGCAGTTTGAGAAATTCTTTCTCAGTGCCAAACACAGTAAAGGCTAAGTAGAATGTATGGAGAACTTAAAAGTGGTGTCTCTATAGATACTGAATACCAATAAATAACAGTGCGAGTTTTGGAAGACATTGAGAATTATGTATAAATGAGTATCATTAGTTGAACTAGGCTGCTGTAGAAATTCATATGTTTATATCTGTACATAAATTGTGAGAAATACTTCACATTAAACTCTCTAAACTTAGTTGGCTTGTTCAGTATTAAAAATGAAACTTCCTACTTCAATTTCTCAACACTTTTAATAGCAATGTAGCTATGCTAAATTGTAAGACAGGTCTAATTTATACCCTGATCTTAAAGATACTTTCTTTGGCTGTGAACCTGCTGTCATGAAATGTCGTAGAGATTATTGGCACTAATTTTGTTGTCTTTCCTCTTTTTTTTTTTTAACAGTTGGTCTCCCAGATAAGAAGTTT